ACGCGCGCGGGGACGCGCCCGTGGCGAGTTTTGCATTGTCCAGAATGGAAAAATCGCCATGTTGGTTTGGAAAATAAAGTGAACCCTTTACGGTAACCAACGGGATCTCAGGTGACCCGCCCGCGCGTGGGTCAACCGATCGCGCGCGTGGCAAATTTTGAATTGTCCACAATTCAAAGGTCGCCATAATTGTTTGGAAATTCTTGACGCTTCGCCTATCCACACCAGCCCATCCAGTAACGATGCCCAGGCGAATGGAGGTGATCAGGGAAGTGAGGGAGCATACAGAGTAACAAAGGGCTGGGGAACCCGTCTTACCCAAGACGGCGAGGATGGAGGAGGAATCGGAGGAGGATGAGGAGGAGGAGGAACTGAAGGAGGAGGAGGGGGAGCGGGAGGAGGGAGGAGGAGGAGCAATAGGCGGATGAGGAGGAGGAGGAGGAGCAGGACGAGAATGAGGAGGAGGATGAGGAGAAGGGCGAGCAGAATGGCCAGAGGCCTCTTGGATGCCTCTCGGAGTCTCTTCGGATGTCTCTTGGGAGCGTCCTGAAGGCCTCTTAGGGCGTCTTGGGAGCGTCTTGGCGGTCCCAGAGGCCTTTTGGGGCGTCTTGGGTGCCTCGGGGGGCCTCTTGGGGACCTCTTGGGGACCTCTTGGGGCCATCTTGGGGCCATCTTGGCGCCTCTTGGGGCCTCCTGGGCGCCTCTTGGGGCCATCTTGGGGCGCTCTTGGGAGCCTTGGGAGCGCTCTTGGGGCCATCATGGAGGTGATCGATCAAAGGAAGGGGGTCCCCCAATTAGCGTCCCCCCTCGGGAGCCTCTAAAATCGGCCGAAACCGTAGTACAACCAATGATTTTGGCTTCCTCGCCGAGGCCGTTTTGGACGCTCTAACTGTCAGCGGCCCCCCCCCGTCCAAGTCCAGGGGAGGGGGTTAGGGGGAGGGGTAAACCCCTCCCCGAAGGGGATGAAGTTGGTTGGAAGAGGAAACTCCCGGGAACCACCTACGCCCAGAGGGCTGGTGGGATTAAAATGGACCCTTAACGGTGACCGATTCAATTTTGAAGTCAACATGCGTGTTTCAACGTTTTCAAAAGAATCCATCGGATTCCCTAGGAATTATCCCATGGATGTCTTAAGGATCCCATGGATATCCTACGGAACCCGATGGATGTCCTAAGGAATCCTGTGCATGTCCTAAGGAATCCCAAGGATTTCCGGAGGAATCCGATTGATTCCTAAGGAGTCACATGGGTGCCGTAAGGAATCCCACGGATTTCCCGAAGGAATTCGATGGATTTCCTAAGGAACCTTGCGGATCTTCTCTGGAATCCCATGGAATCCTTTTGGGATCTTTTGCGTTTCCGAAGGAGCCTTGTAGATTTCTTGAGGAGTACGATGGATTCCTTAAGGAGTCCCATGGATTTCCAAAGGATTCCCAAGAATTTTAGTAGGAGGCCTATGAATGTCCAAAGGAAACCTATTGATGTCCGAAGGAAGCCTCCGGATTTCCTGAGGAAGCCTTTGGACGTCCTACGGAATCCGATGGCTGTCCTAAGGAATCCGATGGATGTCCTAAAGAGACATGAATTTCCGACGGAATTCTATGAGTTTCCGGGGGAATCCAATTATTCATTTCTTGAGGCACCCGATGGATTTCCTAAGGAATCCGATGGACGTCGTGGAGATTTTTATGTATTGCCTAAGGAATCCGATGGCTGTTCTAAGGAATCTCAGCGATTGCATAAGGGATCCTCTTCATCCTCCTCCTTGCGCTCCCGCGCTGAACTTTTTTTGTTATTCCGTGTGTTTTGTGTCACCGCAAATTGGCCGCCATTGACTCTTCCTACACATGCGTCGTTGACAACGATGAAAACTAATTCACGTCTACAAATGAAAAACGAAGGTCCAGAATCGAAGTTGTTTTGGGAAACTGGTCTTGGGGCTCCTCCTTCTCCTCCTCCTCCTCCTCCTCCTTCTCCTTCTCCTCCTCCTCCTCCTTCTCCTCCTCCTTCTCCTCGTCCTCCTCCTCCTCCTCCTCCTCCTCCCTGGATGTCTTAAGGAATCGCATTGATTGCCTAAGAAATCCTATGGCATTATTTTGGGATCTTATGGAATCCTAAGAAATCTGATGCATGTCCTAAGGAATCCCATAGATATCCTAAGGCAGCCTATGTATTCCCCAAGGAATCACATGCATGTCCTAAGGAATCCTTTGGGTTTCCCCAGGAAGCCCATGGTCTTCCGAAGGAAACCGATGCATTTCCTAAGGCAGCCTAAGGATTTCCTAAGGAATCCGATGGATGTCCTCAGAAATCCTGTCGATGTTCGAAGGGATTTCCATGGATTTCCCAAGGAGTCCTATAGATGTCCGGATAAATCCAAAGGGTTCCCAACAGGATTCCGATGGATGTGTTCAGGAATCCGATCGGTTTCCTAAGGAATCTTGTGCATTGCCCAGGGGATCCCACAGATGTCTTGAGGAATCGTAGTTATTCCCATAGGAATCCGATGGATTTCCTCAGGAATCCTGTAAATGTCCTGAAGACCTTTATGGATGACCAAAGGAATCATATGGATGTCCTAAGGAACCAGATGGATGTCCCAAGGAATCCGATGGATATCCTAAGGAGTCCGATGGATTTCCTAGGGGATCCTCTGGATGTCCTAAGGAATCCTGTGGATGTCCTAAGAAATCCTGTGCGTTACCTCAGGAACCCGAAGGATGTCCTAAGGAATCCAATGGATGCCCTAAGGAATCCCATTGGATTCCCTAAGGAAGCCGATGGATGTCTTAAGGAACTGGATGGTTTTGTTCAGGGATCCTGTGGAGATCAAGCGTGTCGCGGCGTGTTCCCAAGGAGTCCTGTGGATTTCCTCAGGAATCCAATGGATTCCCTAATGAAGCCGATCGATTGCCTAAGGAATCCGATGGATGTCCTAAGGAATCATATGTATCTCCTCCAGAATTCGATGGACGTCCTAAGAAGCTTTATAGATGTCTTACGGAATCCTATGGATTTCGTCAGGAAACCGATGGTTGTCCCAACGAATCATATGGATCTCCGAAGGAATCCTATGGATTTCCCCCTCCTCCTTCTCCTGCTCCTCCTCCTCCAAGAAGCCCTTGTCTTTTTCCAGCTCCATGTGTTTTTTGTTTTAGCTCGCGCGGGGCGTTCTCGACGCCACACCAGATTTTCTTTGTGGTTTCGGGCGATGCCTTTGTCTTTCCAATGTCGGCCTGGGCCGGCCACTTCAGGTGCCTCCACGGACGCGTTGTTTTTTGTTTGCGCGCCAGCCTTCTGTGTTTTCTGGTCCACGGCTCGGGCGGGGCGGGCGGCCGCGACCGCGACCCAATATGCGTTTCATGTTTTTCGGGGCGCCCGATTGTGTCTTCATTTTTGGGCGAGGGCCGCCCCCTTGTTGGCCATGCCGACGCTTGCGTCTTATTGGGCTTTCGGGCAGCCCTTTGTGTTTTGCTCACCGCAAGCTCTTCAGCACCGCCTGCACCCCGCGCCCTCTGGCCGCCTGAGGCCCCGCCCGCCCGCGCCCTGTCTCCCCAATTAGTGCTTTGCGCGGCCCGCCTAGCTCTTAACCGGAAGAGGCTCGCTCTCGACCCGCAGACCAAAAAGTGTTTTGCTCACCAGCCAGAGCGCCCCCCCCCAGGGGTGGTCCGACGCGCATGTTTTTTCGTTTATCGGGCCAACCCCTCCGCCGTCGCTGGTGTTCGCCTCCCCCTGGGCGGAGATTCGTGTCGGGCCGACTGGGGGCTCTCTGGTTTTTTGTGATCGGGGCACGGACTCCCTTTTTGTTTTTTTTGTTGGGGGGGAAGGCCCGCGCGAGCGCGAGTTCCCCTGCTCTAACCACTCTGTCCGCAGCGTTGCCAGCCCTCGGTGTCCCCAGCTTCCCTGTATCCACCCCCTTTTCCTCGCGAGGCGACTAGTCATGTGAACGCCTGGATCTGCGTGGCAATCTACTCCGCTGCGCCTCCCAGAAGCCCACGAAAGTGGCGACAGCTGCGCAGTTGGCAGCCTCCCAGGGACCCGCGAGCTCTCGCCTGCCTTCCTCTTCCGATGGACCTGCGAGCCCACGAAAGGGGCGACAGTTGCGCAGTTGGTACATAGCCCCCGATGGAGCGCACAGGATGCAGGAGGAGGTAGGCGGATGAGGAGTCAGGGAGGGGGAGAAGGAAGGGAGGAAGGAAAAAAGGAAGAAAAGAAGGGAGGAAGGACGGAAGATGACGGACGAGTTGTGCTCTATTCGAATCGAGAACCCAACACAGGAGGGTTGCGAAGAAAGCAATGTAACTCAAATGAAAACGAAACGCGGCAAAGCAAAGCTCATGAAAGGTATGCGATCGTGTTCAAAGCAATGCAGAGCAATGCAGGGCAGATCAAGGCGAAACAATTCACATCAAGTCCCGCCGAGTCAAGGCAAAGCGAACACTGCAACACAAGTGCGTTCAGTGAAAAACAGTTCAAGTTGAATCAACACATCATCAATATATATATAAGCTTAGCTCAGCAAGCCAAAGCAGTTCAAGGCACAGCAACTCCATGCGATTCAAAGCAGAGCAAAGCAAGATACCCTACCAAGTAACCTGTCGGGTAACTCCCAAGCGAAGTCCAAGGAGGCCGAACGTCCTCACTTGGCCGAGGAGTTGGGTCAGGCAACGCACGGTGCGGACGGGAGGGCCAGTGTCTTTGTTGACACGCTCCTCCGGCGTCCTGCCGCTCAAAGCAGAGGGGCACGCGTAGCGGCTCAAAGGCCAGGAGGATCTGCGATGAGATAAGTGAATGATAACACGTGCCAGTTGATCTCCCCGTGGATGGGAGGTGTATTGTCCATGGGCCTTGGCCAGATGGAAAGTGGGGTCAAAAGTAGGAGCGGAGTGGTGAGGCAAGGATGAGTGGATGTGAGCGCTGTTTCGTTTAAGTATTTGTTTTTATTGCGCCGCCGGCGCAGCCACCAGTACAGCCACGTACTGGCGTGGCCGTTGCGTAGGATGCGTGCGAATTGCATGCAGATTGAAGTCAATGTACCCTGTAACTCGATTGATTTTGCATGGCGGTGTCGTGTCGGTTTGCTGGACGTGTTTGCAGCGCGTTTCACTTCTTTGCTGCGCCTTCCCTTCTATCCAGCCTCGCCAAAGAGTGTGATTCCCAGGTAGACGACTCGATTGTCGTGCATGGTACGCGCGAAATCGGCATTTCGTTTCCACACTGGGCTACGCCAACAGCCGTGCCCTCTCGTACTTGAACGGTTTCTTGACGCCCTCACTATTCCACCCCAGCTCTTTCACCCAAAAAACAACCGCACGCTAAACCCTGTGTGATTCCACCGAGTCCAGATGTCATTCCAGCAGTTCCGTACATGATCCGTGGCTGTCCGCGTAGAGGCCGTTGGAAGTTCGTTCTTCTTTTCTACCACCAGTTCTTACGAGGGTCTTGACCGCTCGGTCGATTCGGTTTGATCGCACGTTCTGTTGCTTCGATCGTCAGTCGCGCGATCGGCTCACGATCGCCATGACTGCCAGCTTGCTGCTGATTGTTGCTGTGAGTGTGCAGTGCGGCTAGATCGTGCGATCGGGGACTCCTCGAGCAGCAGCGGCGGGAGCCTTCGTGTCTCGCCCATCTGGTGTTATCCTCTCGCGCCCCATGCAGAAGCGACGCGTGCACAACCGACTACGGATCGCTGCGGCCTGCGCTGCCAGGAGAGCACGTGGTGCCCAGCTTGCTTGCATCGCACGGTCTAAGATACACAGCAAGCGCGGAAAAAGCACGTGGCCGGTGCGGTTGCTATCTCCCGTGAGGCGTGCCATTGGTGTTGGGGCAAGGGGCGACTGCACAGGACGACGACGGGACAAATGTCCTCACAACGAAAGGAAGCCTCGATAGTCGGCTTCGTTTTCGCTATTCCAGGGCGCCGTTAGCATCTTGCATGGACATCATCGCGACAACGTGGCGCTATACATCATACGCCTGCATCATATACCTAGCGGATGAAGCGCATCTCACCCTATGTCTATTCACACTCTGTATGCGCAGCACGGTCAAGCAAGAGGTGACACGGGTATTATGTGTCCCCATGATGTCCCATTCTCACATGGATTTCGAAGGTTATTGCGGAGGGTTCTCATGTGGTTCACCAGTTGATGATAGTTTCCCAGTTGCCCTAGCTCGAAGAGGAAAAATCGCCATACAGATAAACATTTGGCGCTCCGCGCGGATTTCTTGGATCCGCGCTACCCCATAATGCCAGCTCATGATTGCCTCGTCGCTGTGATCCCCACCAGATGCAAACATTTCAACAGCCATGATCCTTGCGGCATGAGCATGTCCACATTGCTTTACAAGTAGGAAGGTTATGCACGCAGGGAAGCGTAGTTGAGCATTGCCTGCCAACAGTGATCAGCACGTACAGTACGCAATGGTCTCAAGTAGCAGCTTCATGTGCAGATCGCCCGTGATCGCGCAGGAGGTGTGCAACGACTTGAAGCGACAGCTGCGGGCGCAGCGCGATGACGCCGACAAGCAGTTGAGCAGGGAGAGGCGCCTCCGCACGTGACGGAATGATTGCTATTGAATGTTAACTTCCCCGCGCAGATGCATTCCCAGCGTAGGACCCGTACCACCACGGCGTACGGAGACCTGGCGGGTGAATCTTATAGATCGGAAACCAATCTAGTATGTTACAGGCCGAAGGCAATTTACGCATCCTCGGTGATGCTTGCTCTGACGCACTTCACAGGCATGTGCCCAAGCGATGCTCGCTCTGACGCACTTCCCAGACATGTACCCAGACTCGTTTGATCGATGCTCGATGATGGTCTCTTTCACGCTCTGCGCACCCTCGGCGATTTGCTCGCTCTGACGCACTTCTCAGGCCGGTTGGCATTCTGACACGCGCAACGAGCCGCAGGCGCGGTAGCGGATCTTACCACAAGTCCATGTTTTTTGTTTTGATCGTCCCCATGGGTATTTCTTCGTGTTGTGATGTTCGCGGGTGAGTGCGAGCGTTTGCAGTCGCAATCCCAATAGAAGGTACCTCGAATGGTGAACATTTGCAGTCGAAGCATATCGAAGCAATCGCGCCGTCGGAGAGGTTCTGCGTCGAATCGACGCTCCTCCGCATTCGCAGGGGAGGTTGAGCGCCTGTGACACGCGCTGCGCATGGAAAGAGCAATGGTAGGGACAGTAGGAGGAGAGTGGCAGGGTGACGGAAGGAGGCGGCGGAGACAGGGCAGGTGGCCAGCAGCATGCGGGGGGGGAGGGGGCCTGGGACAGCGGATAGTTGTAGGGGAGGCTTTGGGGAGGTATTCTAATCTTTGCGCGGATGCTTCCGCTGCCCACTAAACGAGGACGAAGATGGAGCACATCGCGAGGTTGGAGGGCGTGCTCCCGAAGCATATGTTGACAAAGGCTCTCCCCGGCGGCACGCCTGCTCAACCGCTTCCTCCACAGCCTCCTCCTCCACTGCCTCCCCCTCCTCCACCTCCTCCTCCTCCACCTCCTTCTCCTCCTCCTCCTCTTCCTCTTTTTCGCCTTCTCATGTTCCCTCTCCTGCCACAGCCTAGCCTGGGCTCGCAGCGCTGGCTCAGCCCGCAGGGAACCGCCAGAGGCACCGCGGCCACGGGTGACGCGGCCCCGCGATCATGGCCGCGGCAACGATGAACGAGGAAAAACCGGAAAAAAACCTAAACTCTCGACCGTCCGCGCGGATTTCGTAGATCTGCGTTGGATGCGCCTGGGGCACGGAGAGCGCCGGGGGCGGTGCTGGAGGAGCCGCGAGGCGGCCCAGCGCCGTTGCAAGAAGTCCGCGCGGACCTCCGAAAGTTGATGCGTATGCAGACATGTCTGTTTCTTATCACTCTTGTTATTATGAGTCTTCTCCTCCTGAATATTAGTGTTATCATTGTTGTTATTCTTTTGATTCGTATGATCATTATTACCCATATTAGTAGTATTATTGGCTTTATTATTAGTATGTTTATTTTTAGTAACACTATTATTATTACCTGATTGTTATTACTGGTGTTACTAGTATTAGTAATAGTAATGATATGAGCAGCTCTTGTTCTTGATAAGTGTAATAATATTACTCTTATCAGCAATAATAATATCATGTTTGATTGTATCCGGATTATTGTTATTGTTAGTAATATGATCCGCATTCGTATTAGCATCAGCATTATTAGTATTAGTTTTATGTTTATGACGTGCTTCATGTTGTTCTTGCTATTATTATGTTCGGCCGTCTTCTTAATATCATGAGCGCGCGGTCGACGGCCGTGGCCCAGGGGGAGCCGATTGCCTCCATGAGATGGTCCTCGGACCTCGAGGGACGGGGATCTCCACCCGTTCGGAAGCTGCGATGCACGGCCCCACGCGTCCTTCTCGGGAGGACGAGGGGGCACCGAGCCCAGAGCCTCGGGGATCGAAAATCGAGGGCGAGAACACGCCAGTGGGAGGGCCGCCTCCTCGTCCTCCTCCGTCGCTCCTGCCCTCTCCGTTTCCTCCCGCCTCCTCCTCCTCCTCCTCCCGCCTCCTCCCGCCTCCTCCTCCTCCTCCTCCTCCTCCTCCTCCTCCTCCTCCTCCTCCTCCTCCCGTGCGCTGATCGCACAACACGTCACGCAGGAGGTTAGCGCGGGGTGGCCGCACCAAGGCCACGGCCACTGCTAGGCCACTGCCTCGAGGCTGCCGCGGCGGGCCGCGCCGCGCCCGCGGAGGCCTCCCGGCCGCCGCGGTGGGCGGCCTGCCGGCATGGCGCGGGGTCGGCGCGGCGCGGCGGGGAGCTGCTCGCTGGAGCCGCGGGTTCGGGGGACCGAGCGCGTTCCACTGCCAGCAAAGTGCCTACTCGCAAACTGCCGAAAAAACATAGGTCTGCTTCGGTGTAATGTAGATCCTCCGCGGAGGATCCAGGCCACTTGCGAGTAGTGACTTTGCGAGTGGTGGAACTCGCTCGTCGATCTCTGGAGCCGCTGGTTCGGGGGAGGCACAGGTGTCGGGAACAATCAAGCAACACTCACGAGCAACACATGGCGTGAACTCACCCCCCCCTTCCCCCGGATGCAATGTTGGGCTCGGATCTCCCGAGCTTGAGTGTCGGACCAGTGATGCGTATACCTGCCAACTTTGAGTTGCGCGGGGAGGGAGAAGTGTTGCTTAATTGTTTTCCCTCAACCGCAGGTACCGCTGCTGGCGTAGGAAACTCGAAGAAGAAAAAACGCCATAAACATAGACTTTTGGCGCTCCGCGCGGATTTCTTGGATCTGCGCTGGACCCCCCTCCCTAGCGCGCGGAGCGCGCCAGGGGCGGCGTCGGAGACGCCGCCGGGGGGGGCCAGCGCAGATCCGAGAAGTGTGCACAGAGCGCCAACAGTTTATGTTAATGGGGTTCTTCTTTTTCTAGAAACGCCTATCCAAATGTGTTGCGTCGACGGGGCCACCCCCGTGCCCTGCATTTCAGTGCTGCCGTCGCTGTCGACACAGAAATATCTCAAACCCGTGGACACACGCATGTTCAACACTGGGATCGGGGGACGCGGGGGTTCTAATGCTCGCTTCTCTGGTGTACTGGGCTGACTTGACGTTCTCTGAACGCCCGCCCACTGCTTCTAGCGAGACGCCGCCCGCGCTTGGGGATCCACCTGCAAACATCAGCGCACTAAAATCTGAGCGAAATGTTTACGGACAGTCTCGACGAGCATTCGGGGGCGCCCAAGAGGGGGGCGTTCAAAAGGGGGGGATCGCAAATCATAGTCCAAGGCATGCGCGCGGACGAGGGAGGGACCAGGGGGACGAATACGAAGAAGGGGCCACGAAATCGGCGGAGGTATCTTGGCCCCGGCCATGATCTCCGCCCGCTAGGGTCATCACCCCATTCTACCGCTATTGGCGCAAAAGCGCCCACCAAACGGAGGACCCCGCGCCCATGCGCTGCATCATCCCATCGTGCTGACCGAGTGTGCGGCAAACCATGGACCCTCTTTTCTGCTGCCCAGTTCACATCTCCAGGGAGAGGGAGGCGGGAGGGGTCACGGGGCCCCTCTCTTGGACGGCCCGCCACCAGCGTCGGGGGCGTCCTGGAGGGGGTTGAGGACTTGGGTCTGTGTGGATGTCACGGCCGGGGCCATGGAATCTCCTGGGCTTCATAGCCCCACCCTTCTCCTTCCGAGGCGTTCACTGCCCGCCTTTCCCCCCCCCCCGCCCCGTCCGCACCTACGGCTCGGGCCATGATGCGCTTGACCCTCCTTCTTGCCCCCCCCCCCCTTCCTCGCATCCGAGAGCGGTCCGTCGGCGGAGCCGCTGCAGGGCGGACGGGCGGCGCTGCGCCGGCCTCGGCCTCATCCCCCCCTCCTGTCCCCCTCGGCCTCCTCCTCGGCCTCCTCCTCCTCGGCCTCCTCCTCGGCCTCCTCCTCCTCGGCCTCCTCCTCCTCGGCCGCCTCCTCCTCGGCCTCCTCTTCGGCCTCCTCCTCCTCGGCCTCCTCGGCCTCCTCCTCGGCCTCATCCCCCCCCTCCTGCCCCCTCGCTCCACAGGATCAGCGTTGGTCACCATCGGTGCTGGCATCTTTCTCGATCTCACGCCTTACGTGCCGAGACCTTCACACGGTGCGCAAGACCGGCCACGCCGTGAGACCATGACCGAACTCATCGTGCTGAGCGTGGCACGAGCAGGTATTGTAAGGTTCGTGGATGGTTCTAGACATGATTCTCTCAATCCGCACCGCAACCTACGAAGCGGCACACCTTTGTAT